GCCGAACTGAGTGAGTGAGTAAACTACTCTGTGGCTGTAGCTCCCCATTTACAGAAATAATTTACATACAAGGCTACCAAATCAACGAAAATTTCGCTATTTTGGAGCCGAAAAAATTTAATTATAGGTAAACAAAACAAAATTACACTGCCATTTTCATTCAGTGGCTTCCCACATGATAGATGAAGAGATTAAAAAATAGATTGAGTTAAACAATTGATATTTTCAAAAGTTATTGTGTTTACAAGCTTTGGGAACATGATAAATCCACACCATAAGCCACTAAAACCTCTTTTTTATTTAAAAATAGCAATTATTCGATTAAAAAATAATGTATAAGTTCAACAATCCTTTATCTTTCTAACAATGTGCTTTTTATATTATTTATATGTATAATATGATTGCTAGATACGATTTTATTAGATAAAACTTTAGAATCTTAACTTTTAGGCGATAGTAGAACATACCTTGCGCTTTCGCTTAAAGCATGCAAAAATAAAAATCTGCAATAAAATCTAGTATTTAAAAAAAATAAACGCATAATGGTAGATTACTTTATGATGAAACGTGTACCACAGATAAAAACGGGACGTGTTTAGATGCGTTCAAAAATATAAAAAACTAGTAAGGAAATGAGGTTTCTTTATTACAAAGCTAAATTATTTTACCGGCTCCAATAAAATAAGTTGGACCCCGTAATTTAATATACACCTAAGTCATTACTTTTTGACGTATCAATCATTGGTGGTCGTTTCATATTTTGGTCAGGTCGTATTTGACCGATGTTCTTTCTAGGTTTTTCTTAAATGCCCATAATTTCCAAACTGCATGGGATAGATTTTTTTTCTGATTTTTCTCATGATGGTTACAATCAATCCTGTCACCCCGTTTCGGCTTGTCGTTGAGTTCTGGGACATTCTGTATGTATGATCTGTGTTTATGATAAAACCTTATTTTTGATCAAAAACCTAGGCTTTTGATCAAGAACCGGAAGAAAAAAAATTACTACCTACTTTATGTTATCATAAACCTGTCAATATCCAGTTTTTTGATCAAAACCCTTGACTGATTTAGTTTTATGATAAAATCAACCTAACCTTAGCCTCAATTTTATCATAAACCTCAACAAGTTCAGGTATTTGATAAAAAAAACATGATTTTTTTTCAAGTTAATGATAAGATTAAGTCTCACAAAATACCAGCGTAAAATAGCAGCTTAAGGCTGCTGTGTTTCGTATGGCGAGTGAGTGAGAGCCGGAGACCCTTTTTATTGGAAACGAGGCATTCCATCATAGTTCTCGGGGGTGATAACGCATCTCCATTTTGATTCTTAATTGAGGATAAATGTAGATGTCTATGGGCTATAGTATCCACTTACCATCAGGTGAACTGTGCTCGTTTGTCACCCTTATTCTATAAAAAAAAAAAGTAGTAGTTTTGTCTTGTTCTGGTTCTTGAACCTGATTTGGCCATAACCTGCGACATATAGTATGTCGCATTTGCCGGAATTTATTTATGGTCTCCGGTAGAATCTCGTTTACGACGAAGAGAAGCAGCGTTAAAGATGCTAGACGTCTGGTTTTGTGATTGTCAATCCGCCTGCCACGCCTGATGATTACGACAAATTGTACCAACAATGGGGGAGGCCAGCACCAGCAGTGGGCTTTAACGGACCGATGAGGAAAATAGAAGGCGAGGACGTAGAATGCTAGTGCTAGAGCCATATGAATTTTTATATTCATGTGACCAAACCACTGGCACAATTTTATTGTTTTTTTGGGACAAAAAACAGTTACACATTAATGTTATACAAGACTATTAATTTATAAAGAAGTACTTAACGTGTCACCCACACCAATGCTCACAAAGTAATATTATATGCTTAGTCTTATGTTTAATAAAATTTCGTAATTTTAGAAAGTGTAGGTAATATGCTAATTATTACATAATTTATAAATCATTATAGTCAGTTAGCAACTTAGTTATCATTCTTTTAAACTTTAAGGCCGGCCGCATACATACGGAATTCCATTTCGTAATTCCGTTTCAGAATCCCGAATCGGGATTCCGTGAATACATCACACACACACGTTTTTTATCCGTTCGTAATAACAAGGGTCAGTTGAGAGACGTTAGCCATTGAGTCTAGACATTCTGCCAGCGAATGATGACGACGATTTTCTAATTGCAAATTTCATTATTATTATTATTTTTAGTTTTATAATTTCTAAATATTATGAAATTGTGGTAGGTAACTTTGATATCTTTTATTTTCTTTTGTTTATTATAATTAATTGTATTTGTATAGGTGATAGTGCATAATAATATATAGTTTTAAGAGTGTGTATCCGCCGACAAACTGATTGCAGTTTGGCGAGAGAATAGTAAAAATAATGTACTTACCTTTCTATGAATAAATAAATTGAAAAAAAAAATTGTTGCTATATCATTCTTACTAGGTGCATCCCCTTATCACCCTAAGCTTGCAATATAGTCAATACTATGTAAAAAGATCTATCTATCCAGAGATATTTTTTTAATATTTATGTATGTAAATTCTACCCACGAATTATTAAATAAAATAAGATGAAAGGTTACGAAAAGCTATACACCTACAAGATTAAATGTAAAAACATACATAAATACACCTACTCGCTTCGGTCGTTCGACGAACATTGAGCGCATTCCGTACGGAATTTACGTATTTGTGTGGCGATTCGTACAAAATCTATGGAAGACTTGCGTTTGGAGCGGCTTTTTTACGTTCGGGATCCCGAACGCACAGGCGGTCATACGGAATCTCGAATCGGAGAATTTCCGTACGGAAAAATAACGTACGTGTGTGGCGGGTCATAGATTTTATATGGACTTGCTGCGTTCGGAATCCCGAATCGGAATATCAAAACTCCGTATATATGTGGCCGGCCTAAAGATTACAGAGCAAAAATATCACATTCTGTGAAGTGTGTATTATAATTATCTAAAAGGCGACAAAGGGGTGCCTGCGCTCCAGCGTTTGTTTTACACCACATGGCGTAAACAACCGAGGTGCTCGCACTACGCACCGAATTATAGTTCTCGGTACAATATAATAAAACTTATTGGTGATATAAATACAGTCAAACCTGTTATGACACAACTCATGCAACATCATGGCCATAATAAGCAATTGTCTAGATATCAAACTTAGTAGTTAATAATTGTATGTATGGAATTGTGGAAAGGTAACACTTATATTTATAATAGATATTGCGTAAAAATTTCTTATGGACCATTTCCAATTTATAATAATTATATTTTTTATATAAGGGACTCCAGATTGGTACAAATGAACGAATGAGGCTGAGATCTATAGATCGTACTTTGACTTTGCTCAGACTTAGCTTACGACAAACTTAGCTGAGTATATGCTCAGCATAATCTTTGATTCTGAATTTATAGTTGTATCGGGCTAAGATTAAGCTAAACTTATGCTAAAGCCCTGACAGTCCAAATATTAATGGATGCTTCATTCCACTCATTATGTTTTTCACTTTACTATATAAAATTAAAAAATATATATATTTTAAAATCAAAATTACTGTATAAAATTAAAAAATATATACATTTAAATTCGAAAAAAAGTCTATATTGTATTTCATAAATTATTTCTTATTACATGAAATAGAAAACGGTATAAGAACGGAAATGGATGAGATGAGTAGAGTCAGAAAAAAAGAAAAAAAAAAAGATTTTAAGAAATTCGAAATAAGATTGAAGTTACGTAAATAGAAAATGGATTATTGCTATTTAAAACTAGAAGACGACCTAAAACTACCTATTTATTGTTTTAATTAATTAGAGCAACATAAAAACAACAATTTAAAATTAATACGGTGGTTTTGAATAATATCCTGAGTTTTACGTAAGTCGACCATATCGTTGACTTAGCTTTGCTAAGCGCGCACTCAGCACAACTTCGAAGTTAGCTCTATATAATACTGACATTGTCTTAATTGTCTGCTCGAAAGTAAAGTCTGAGCAAAGTCAAAGTATGGTTTTATAGATCTCAGCCTGAGTGTTTTGTATAGAATGAGGAAAGTAGATGATCGTTTAAAGTCTGTAGATGATCACATGATAAAATCATAATGTTTAAAAGCTTTATTGATTATGTAATCAATATGGTAATCGAAATATAATTTCGAATCCAGCATTAAACCAAGGTTTCTATGTTACCTTTTTGTAAGGGTATGCAATTGATACAATAATTAAATTTCAAAGGTTTTTTGTTCTTTGTAAAAGTTGTCACATTACACTTGGGATTATGTGAAGCTTATTATCTAAATAGTACTGAGAAAATCAGTCAAAATATTTTTGAAGACGTGAGCAGTCGTGAATATTTTGGCATGTTTTATTATATAATTATAAATATTAATATCATCGGCGTACATTAAAAAATAAGAATTGTTAAAACAGACCTTGACGTCATTTATAAATAAAATAAAGAGCAAGGGCCCAAAATTGATCCTTGAGGTACGCTGGAATTGACAACAATAGTTAGATTCGTAAACAATTATAACAACCTTCTGAGTTCTGTTAAAAATATAAGATGTGAACCAACGCAATAGATTACCACAAATTCCATTAAATGCAATTTTATCCATAACTAATGTATGATCCACCTTGTCAAAAGCCTTCCGAAAGTCAGTGGATACAACATCAGTTTGAACTTTGTTTTCGAATAAAAATTTGTAAAAGTTAATATCGATTAGTAGTAGTGGAACGGCAGACTGGTAGTTGAACAAATAAGTTAATATATATATACATATAAATAAAATTGAAGTGTCGTCTGTAATATTGAAATAACCGGCTTCGATTAATCTCAGGGATTACCGTAAATCTAAGTAAGCAGGTGAAGCCAGGGCAGGTCTCTAGTGTAAAATAAAAGAAAATTGTAATCATTATATTAATATATAATAAGAACACTGATAATAAGTTATGATTAAACTCATATAATTTACCTCAAAAGCTTGCGCTGCATGTGTGAGGACTTTATAACCTGCGCCTTTGATCCAACCACATGTGTTTATTATGACGCCGGATGTTGACGCTGCAGCAAATTAAAAAAAAAACAGACTTAATTGCAAGAAACAAGATTAGAAAAATTGAATAAGTAATTTTAAACAATTAATTTCAATGTGTTTATTTTGTGAAACAAATAAATAGCAAATAAAAAATATAATTCAAATTACTTTAGAGAAGGCTCAGCTGGGGGTTTCTTTGTGTGATAAAGTTAGAAATGAGGATATCCGCAGTAGAGCCAGAGTGCCAGACATAGCCCAACAGATTAGTAAGCTGAAGTGGCAATGAGCCCGCCATATAGCTCAAAGAACCGACAACCTATGGGAAAAAACGATTCTCGAGTGGCAGCCTAGTACCAGTAGGCGAAATGTAGGGCAACCCCCCGCTTGATGAAGTGACGACCTGGTAAGACATTCAGGAAATCGATGGATGCAGGTGGCTCAGGACCGTGCTTTTTGGCATGGGGGAGGCCTATGTTCAGCAGTAGATTTGTGAAGGGCTGTAATGATGGTGATGATGAAATTACTTTAAAAATAAATAATGATAAAACTAAATATAAAAGCTAAAATTAACATACAGTCCTACTCCCCAAGTTTATATGTATAGTGATAAAAACTAAATAATACTTATGACCTTAAAATTAAACTACATAACAATATAAAATAAAAGTCAGATTCAAATACCTAACTAAAATAAAAACTGATTAATAGAATGGAACCAGAATATGATTAATAGAATGGACACACACAGCCCAACGGATTAGTTAGCTGAAGTGACAATAGATCAGCCATATCGCTCGAAGAAGCGACAACCGATAGCCAACTAAAAATTAGCGAATGTAGTATGTCAGGATCGGTCTTTTGATGATCTTCTCTGCTTACCCCACAAAAGAATAAGTAAAGTTATATTATTCCTTTGCAGTTGCATATAAGTCGTTTAAGTTGACTTCACATTCCAAGTGCATTTTATAATAGTTGTTTTATTTCTTAAATAGTTGTTCAACTGTTACTAGTAATCTCGTTAAGCCTACTTACCTGTTTTAGAGGGGGGGGGGGGGGGGGGGCACATAACTCTAATAAAAATTACCACTTTAAAGATATTAAAATAAAAAAATAAATATTTCGCTAACGGGCGGCTGAATCGAATTGAAAAAAAAAAACACCCAATATTTTTGAAAGACCTATCCAACAATGGAATAGAGGGGCAAAAGCAAAATCATCCTCCCTTTACCAGTATGGGAGGTACCAGTAAATAAAAATATGTTTGAAGATTTCATTTCACAGTTTTGTAGGTGTTATTAGTATCTATAACTATGCCAAATTACAAATTTGTAGCACCTACAGTCTCTGAGCAAAACCACAAGCGGACGGACAGACTGACGGATGGACATGGCGAAACTATAAGGGTTCTTATTTGTTTAACTGCAGAACTCTAATTAATAAAATAATTTTCACATAATAGCTTTAAAGTCCGCATTAGTGTATGGTAGAATTTTATCACTCCCTCAAATTCTACTAAGGGTCTAAGCAAAAAAACTGCTCAGAAGAACCAAAACTTGCACTTCAAGGCTTACAAATCAAACCTATTTATGTCTAGTAAAGAGAAGTTTATCCTGTTTTTAACCGACTTCAAAAAGGTATTTAATTCAAATGTATTTTTTTATATTTTTTTGTGTGTTACCTATTAAATTTTTTCTACATGAACCGATTTTGATGATTTTTTTATATTAAAAGCTGGTGCTTCTCATGTGGTCCCATAGAAATCTGACCAGTAGCTTTTGAGTTATCCTTAATAATTTATATTGAAGTCAGTTGTACAAAATTTTTAATATTACCACTTGTTACTGTCTATAATTATTTATTTATTTATTTAGGCTCCAACAACATATAAGCTTTAGAAATATTTAAAACGCCTAATTATAGAATGAAACATGCAAACGATCTTTATGTTAATTTGGGTAACCATTGCTAGGTAAAAATAACAAAAAGAAGACAAGTAAAATAAGAAAAGCTTAAGTAAAAACATGGTAAATTATGAGTAAAGAGAACTTAACAGCTAGAGCTAAATTGTTGTCGATAGTGAATAATTGTTAGATAATTAAATATAATTTTTAATTTTATGATTAAGTAAATTTGGAGTACAAATAAGACCAAATTTTCCACTTAAATTTTCGGTGACTATGTGTTAAATCGATATCCAGTACTTTGTTAATTAAATTGTTCTGTCTATAAATGGTTTACACAGGCAAAATGTCTCAAATTAATTTTAAAATAGAGACATGGAGGTGGGGGGAGGGGGGGGGGGTAATGGAAATTTATTAGGCGAAGGAGTTGAGGACAGTAAAATTGTTTTGACTGGTTTGTGCAATGACATGGAATCCATCAATAATCTACAGTCCCTGATGATTTATACTGACTGCTTAATGCTTATTATTAATATACCTTTTCTGTTATTCTCACATCTCTCCGCAATGACCTCTGCTAATCTGGAAACTATTGTATTGTACAACTCAATATTTTCTTCTGGGGACTTGTGGCCAAAGTGATATACTAGTGGTGCTTGCTGACTAAATCCTTCCTCAATAGACGCTGGTCGTTCAACAAGTAATGCACCTGGAAATATGGACCACAATATACTTATGTTTCTTGCCATAACAATTAGTGTGAAGGTTAGTAGTAAGAAGAAGAAAATTGAGAAGTTGCATTTTAAATAAAAGTTTATTGGTTTCTAGAGCATGTTTTTTTTTACGTGGTAGAACCATGCTGAAGCTACATATATTATTGGTATAGTTGTAGAATGAATGGGTCGGTTCAACCAGGGAAGGACCACACTCTCACAGATTATCAGCGTAAAATAGCATCTTAACGCTGCTGCTTCATATGGTGAGTGTAGAGAACCAGAGGCCCTTTTTATTGGAAACAACTCAATCAGTTTGTTCTCTACCAAAACAGCTACAATTGTTAAACTTAATATGTGATTAGTTGATTGGACTACTATCACACCTTTAATAGAAACATTAAATTTGAATTTGGGATGTCAATATTCTTCACTGAGTGCTTTCTTATAGTTTAATTTATTAGCCTATATTTAATTTGACGACTTAAAGGTTGACTATGAGAGCATACTTTTAGGCTTTAAGTACTTTAGGTAATGCTTTTCAAATGTATGTATGTATGTATGTATGAATTTTGAGAAATGGAGTGTCGTTAGATTTGAGTAAGTTGTGAAAATTACATAGGGTATAATTTAGTTATTCTCTTTTCAATAGATATTTTTTACTCGATTGGCATTTTAAAAGTTAAGTTTTTTTTTTTTTTATAGGATAGGGGGCAAACGAGCATGCGGCTCACCTGATGGTAAGTGACTACCGCCGCCCATGAACAAGTGCAACACCAGGGGAATCGCAGATTCGTTGCCGGCCTTTTAAAAAGGAGTACGCTCTTTTCTTGAAGGTCCCTAAGTCGTATCGGTCCGGAAAAAATCGCTGATGGTAATCGATTCCACAAGGAGGTCGTGCGAGGAAGAAAACATCTTCTAAATCGCACAGTGGTGGACCGCCAATCATCCAGATGGTGTGGTTGGTATCGGGAGTTCAGCCGCGATGTGCGTTCGTGAAATTTGGCGGCTGGGATTAATCCGAACAATTCCTCAGAGCACTCCCCATGGTAGATGCGAAAGAAAATGCAAAGGGATGCAACATCTCTTCGCAGTGCCAATGAATCGAGCCGATCGGAAAGGGCTCGGTCGTCGACAATTCGAGCCGCTCTGCGTTGGATGCGGTCAAGTGGAAGGAGCTGGCACTGGGGAGCCCCTGCCCAGAGATGGGAACAGTATTCCATGTGAGGCCGAACTTGCGCCTTATAAAGTAGCAAGCGGTGTGCCGGCATGAAATACTGTCCCGCTCTGCTGAGCACGCCAATCTTTTTAGAGGCCAATTTGGCCTTCCCTTCCAAGTGACCACGAAACTGCATGTCACTCGATATGTCGACTCCGAGGATACCGATACTGGCTGAGGCAAGAAGGGGAGTGCCTTGAAACTGAGGAGATACGACAAAGGGGTTCTTTTTAGCGGTAAACGCGCAAACTTGTGTCTTCTGAGGATTAAATTGGACTAGATTTAGTCGCCCCCAATCCGAGACTTTGTTCAGCAAAGACTCGACTTCAGACACAAGTTTGTTCCGGTACTCAGCGACGTTTTCCCGAGAAATATTGGCACGGCCGGTGTATAGAGCATCACCAGTGCTGTCATCCGCATAGCAATGAATGTTACCAGTTAGCAACATATCATTGATATGCAGAAGAAACAGCGTTGGTGATAGCACACAGCCTTGTGGAACACTAGCGTTAATAGGCTTGTAGTCAGAGCATGCACCGTCTACAACGACCTTGATGCTCCGATCTACAAGGAAGCTGGTGATCCAATTGCACAATTTCTCGGGAAGCCCATAGGAAGGGAGCTTCGAAAGAAGCGCTTTGTGCCAAACCCGATCGAAGGCCTTCGCAATGTCCAGACTAACGACCAACGCCTCCCCCTTGGACTCTACTGCCTCCGCCCATCTATGGGTCAGGTAGACCAGAAGATCACCAGCTGATCGACCCCGACGAAAACCGTATTGGCGGTCACTAATCAGCTGGTGATCCTCAAGGTACCGGATGAGCTGGCAGTTAATAATGGATTCCATTATTTTGGAGAACAAGGAGGTGATCGCGATAGGCCTATAGTTGGATGGGTCTGAGCGGTCGCCTTTTTTAGGGATCGGGTGGACAAAAGCTGTCTTCCATGAATTCGGGACTACGCCTTGGGAGTAGGAGTACCGGAAAAGACGCGTTAGGACCGGTGCCAACTCCGGAGCACACGTCCTCAGCACAATTGGGGGGATTCCGTCAGGCCCACTCGACTTCTGGATGTCCAGGGAGAGCAGTGCTTTTCGAACCGAGCGCTGTGAGAACAGCACATCCGGCATGGAGCACTCACACCGCGGGATGGTCGGCGGTGTTTTCCCCCCGTCATCAAGAGTCGAGTTGGACGCAAAAAGGGAGCCTAAAAGGTCGGCTTTGTCTTTTGCGTCATGGGCCAGTGAGTCATCCTCCCTGTGCAGAGATGGTAGTGATGGCTTACAGAAATTCCCTTGGACAGCCTTGGCGAGAGACCAGAATGCACGGGTTCCCGAAGGAAGGCGAACTAGTTTCTCGCCAATTCTGCCTATGTGCTCTGACTTTGCCTTGGCAATAACTCTTTTGAAAGACCTGGAGGCGAAGTTATACTTCTTTTTAAGTGTGCTGGTATTTACATCCCGAGTCGCCGAAGCCGCAGCCCAGGCTTGATAACACTCCTGCTTACTGCGTAATGCAGTCTTACAGGAGCGACCAAACCAAGGCTGAGATCTGCCTCCGATGGGTACCACATATGATGGAATAAATAGTTCCATTCCCTGTAGCACCACATCAGTGACAGAGTCAGCAACAGCGCTGGGATCATCCGGCGAGAAGCAAACCCGCCCCCATGGGTAGGATGCAAAGAAGGACCGCATTCCGTCCCAATCCGCCGACCTGTAATGCCAAACACGGCGGCAACCTGCAGAACGCAACCGCGAAGGGAGCGTGAGTGGCACCACACTCCGGATCAGACAATGGTCCGAAGAACCGAGAGGGGCATCGACGGAAACCAGATATCCGTCCGGATGAGAGGTCAGCAGAAGGTCCAACAGGGAAGGTGTATGATCCTCCACATCTGGAATCCGCGTAGGCGAAGTAACCAGTTGTGTCAGACCATATGCCAAGGCAAAGTCATAAACAGATCTCCCCGCATGATTGGTTAGACGTGAACCGAGCCATTCGGCATGGTGGGCGTTAAAATCGCCAAGGATCACGATCTCTGCGGATGGGACCTGTTGTAGCAAGAAATCTGTAGCCATTTGGACGTGGTCGATGAGTCGGTCTGTTTCGGCATTACCGCTATGGGACCTATAGAGACACCCGTAGACGCGCGGATGGTCGTCGCTGTCTACGCGTAGCCAAAGGATGGACAGGTCCGAACCTTCAAGACTGCCGAGGCGTCGAGAACAGATGTCCTCTCTGACATACACGCAAACTCCAGCCCGAGGCACAAAGGAATGCTCCAATTTGTACCCCGGGTAGGAGAGATACGAAATATCAGCCGGAGAGGAAACCTGCGTTTCGGTCAGAAAGAGCAAGGCCGGCTTCGCCGTCTCGAGATGGTAGTGGACGGCGTTTAGGTTAGAGTGAAGTCCCCTGATGTTGCAGAAATTCACGGATAGCGTGGCAGGGGTCGCCTTGGTGTTCTTGCTCAGTTTGCCCCTAGCAGTAATGCTTTTGAGCGGAATTTTGCCCCCCCCAGAATACGCGGGGCAGCCTGAGCACCCACGCTCAGGATCGGAATAACATGGTCGTGGATGCTCAGCGAGGGATTCTCCAGGGGTGCTGGTACCCTCCTGGGGTAGTTCTTCGTGTAATTCCGCTACCATGTTGATGGGGGGGGGGGGGGGGGGAATTGGGCCTCCGGCCACCTGCACTCACCAGACGAAACGCAGAAGCAAAGCTTCTACTTCACGCCGGTATTCTGTGAGGTCGTGGTACCAACCCGGCTCGAGCCGGCCCATACATGCAACAGCAAAAACTGCTGCGTGGCTCTACCACCGTTAAAGTTTTAAAGTTTTTATAAGTTTTTATAAGTTTTTTACGGCGTTTTAACTCTTTCACAGCGAATCACGAGTACCGCTCGGCATTCATATTTTTCTCCAACTCGCGAATCACGAGCGGCACTCGTTACCGCCTTTCATACTGTTTATTAGAAAATCACGTCGCCTAGTCGTGATTCGCTGGGTACGCATTTGTAGCCGAGTTTATAAGCTATACACACATCTGCAATACATGTGCGAAGCGGGAACAGGAGAGCTACAATATGCGATACCCCGCGCCGCCCGCTCAGTCTGCCGCTGGCGAGTAAACAGGGTGAACGTTACTGCATTTTGGCGCGAAATGGCTTCCTCACAGCGCAATCGTGCGATTTCTATGCGCGAGATTGCTGATTTTTTACAGGATGATGATGACTCTGATATTGAGGAGGCTCAGAATGAAGAAATTGAAGGTAAATAATAATTTATATTTATATTATTTCTATGTAGGTAAACCATTTCCGTATTGAGTATGCTTTCAATAGAAATTTCTTTTGTAGACTTGTTGTCTGACCTGCAAGTGGTTGTGGCCAGTCAAGAAAGGCACGATGATGGTGCAGTTGAGGAGCAGGAGCAATTTCGTGAACCGGTCAACCAGCGAGGGCGTACTCGGGAGCGTACACAGAGAAGGTTTCGGCGCGGGCGTCAGCGCGGCGGCACAATGCGCTCAACTACACACGGGCGATCTTCACAAATGCAGATTACTCTAAGAGAAATGGACGAGGCCAATGGATGGACGTGTGTGCCAAGAGAACGTCCATTAGAAGACCCTGTCTTCGAAGAAGTATGTCGTGTCTTAGCCCCCATAGATGAGAATTCATCAGAAATCGACTGCTTTTCAGTCTTTTTCATAAACGATTTTTGGAAGCTCCTGAAAACTGAAACGAATCGATATGCCGCGCAGATGAAGACCAAGCTGGCTAGACGAGGACTGCTAAAACCAGGGAGTATGCTCGATAAGTGGACACCCGTTACGTTGGAAGAGCTGAAACTTTTTTTCTCCATAATAATTCATATGTCGCTAGTGCATAAAGAAAGCTTTGACGCGTACTGGTCCACAAGAGAAATTATACACACCCCATATGCGGCCAAACTGATGAATAGAGATCGTTTCAGGGCTATTTACAGTTGTCTACACCTGAACGACAATTCTAAATACATACCTCGGGGTCAAGATAACTACGACGCCTTTTTCAAGCTACGGCCATACTTTGACAAGCTCTGTCGGCTGTGTGCTACCAGTTTTTATCCTGGGGAAGCCTTGACGATTGACGAAGGGACGTGTGGCTTTAGAGGCAGAGTACACTTCCGAGTTTTCAATAAAGATAAACCCGACAAATACGGAATGAAAATTTATATGTTATGTGACGCAGCGACGGGGTATATTTTGAACATGGTTCCATATGTCGGTGATTCCAAAACGGTTGAGCAAATAGTCACAGAACTAAGTGAACCGTACTTTGAAAAATGGCACACGATATATATGGATCGATTTTTCTCCAGCCCAACGGTTGCAGACTTACTCTGGCTGAAAAATACTCGTGTTGTCGGCACTGTGATGCCGAACCGGCGTGGCTTGTCCCAAGAATGGCGACAACAGCTCTTGGAGGTGAATGAAATGTCTTTCTGTCACCGTGGGAATCTCACCGCCTGTAAGTGGAAAGACAAGCGGGACGTCCCCTTGCTGACGACCAAACACGCCGCAACCTGGACAGAGGTGACTGTAAAAGCTAAAGGAGGTCTGGCAAAAAAAATAAAACCGGACTGCGTCTTAGACTACAATCAAAATAAAATCGGTGTAGACCTGAACGACCAATACGTGTCCTATTATGCCCTGCAAAGGAAGTGTATGAAGTGGTGGAAAAAAATGTTTTTCCATTTAGTGGCAAGGGCCATGGTGAACTCCATGGTAATTTACAACAAACAGCAGCCTGCACGCCGCCAATTGCGGTTTTCCCAATTTTTGATGGCTTGTGGTGAAGGCATTGTGCCAGCTAGGTCTACTGATGATGCAGGTCCATCTCATGGAGCTCACCTGATCGCCAAGACTTCGAGATTAGTGGGAAGACACTTCATTGAAAGAATTCCAAGTACAGAAAAGAAGACAAAAGTGACGAGAGTGTGTAAAGTTTGTGCCGACACTATCAAACACGAAACTGGAAAACGAGGACGCAAGGAGACTGTTTTTTACTGCCCGGACTGTAATGTGCCACTGTGCAATGACCCGTGTTTTAAAAAATATCACACGGTAAAGAATTACCATCTATAAAGAGGCATATACATTATGTAACACTTATTTTTTTTTTTCAAAAAAAGGACTATATTGTTTTTTTTTATAAATATAACAAAAATAATATAATGTATTTTTATTTACTAATCATAAACTGCAATAGTATATCTTATATACACAAAAAGAATTATCAGTGTTCTCATTTTAGTTAAGTTTATATGACATTCACAAATATACAGAAAATCGCCCGCGTACCGTATCAAGCGGCGCCTTAAATGCTCCGCTGTGAAAGTGTTAAGTTTAGAACTTCAAAATTTAAAGTTAATTACCAATAGTTCCAGGCACACTGATGTGGCCTTGGCCAACATCCAGATCAACATATATAGGTCTTCTGCCCATTCTCACTGCATAGTTGAGCAGTAACCGTGTGAGGGTAGATTTGCCAACATCTCCTGGACCAACTATCATGGTCACCGGCCCCCGTGTGTTCTCCTGCTCGGCTGCAACACGTTGTTGTTCTAAAGCTGCATGTACATTTAGGTAAATTACCTGAAACATGAAATCAGTATATTGTAACAATTTAATTTTTAATTGATAACAGTAATTATTTTGATATGGTTTATTTCTTTGATAAATTATTTATAAAATATGTGAATATAAATACTGTTTTTAGCATCTCAATAAATTATTTTACAAAGATAACTACATAGATAACTGAGTCAAAAATTTAATAAAGACCAGTTTTTCAATCTTCAAATTAACTTTATTCATGGAATAAAAATGTAGCATATAAAACCAATTAAAAATTATAGCAGTATAAATAATAGAGTTCTACTTGCACAAATAATAGAGTAATACATGCTGTTGTATAAATCATGCAAATGGTATTAAGAAGAGTGCCTGAGGTGGTATTTTATTCAGTCTAGTCTAGTTCAGTCTAGTTGGCTAGTAAGTGTAAAATTCAGGTGTCATAATATCATTTAACGCTTTACATAATTAAACTATATGCATCACATTTGGTATATAAATTAATAAGATAAAAGAGTGTAATGCCATTTCAACATGTATCCTTGGTATTACTTTAAGGCACCACATCTCAAGCGCACTAACTTTTTTTATATAGTCCATATAAGTGGTGCAACTTTCTTACCATTGGTGTTTCCTTAGCCACATAACTGACTTCAGTTCTACCTCTAAGCTCAACAGTGCAGCCGTGCCACGTAAACACTGCTACCTTAGCACCTGTGTGGAATTCGTACGGTTTCCCCTTAACAAGTTCTGTGCCAAACAGCTCAGCGTAACCGCTTTTAACCTAGTAACGAAAAAAATGTACAATAATAATTAGTGTTCAAATAATCTTTATTTTACAGATACTTTTATAACTAGAAGAAAATACCTCTAGTACAACTTTTTCATTTTTGGATTCGACTTCAAAACGAAGTTCCGAATCTGGCTCTAGTTTAAACTCTTGCAACTGTACTTCTGTCATGTTTAAATAAAACTAAAGGACTCTCGGTAAAAAGGAACTTGTATTTTATATAGTATTTTTGAGTTTAAATTAGATATGTGAAGTATTTGTTTACGGAAATTAAAGCTAGCTTGCTACATATATATTTATCTATGAAAATAACCAACAATATCAACATGTAATGCTTAGACAAGACTTAAAACAGTGTTACCAACTCCAAAAAATATTTACCCCTAAAGGTTAAGCACAGAGTACTTTTTATAAATTAAGTTAGAGATGGATCAAGTAGAGAGAGAGTAGTATGTTCCTTGAAGAAGAGTTACTAACTCGAATGGGGGTGGCAATGAGGGCATCCACTACTTTTTCTGCCACCACTTTATAGTGAGGTAAAATATTTGACAGATTTCATAGCGGGGACAATAATTTCTTAGGAAAATGTAATCTTTAAGGTTTCTTTCTGTATTATTAGTTATATTTTGTATTAATTATAATTATATTAGAAATTAATAAATCAGACTAAAAATATAACTAAAAGCCGATTTAAAAAAAAAGAGTTATAAATTGCAAAAAATTAAAAATAGTCCACTGACGCCTTGTGTTGTGTATTAATATAATACTCCGCATAATGATAAACTATTATTTAAAACGAATCAGAAACAGAAACAGAAACTTTTTTATTCAATATAGATTATAAATAATACTTATTGAAAGTCACTCTTTTGTTTGATTACCACTCAATTTCTCAATTAACTGACACTGTGTAGCAAAAACTTTACCTCAGTCACAACTAGCGACATCTGGTGAGTGGAAAATTTTTAGCCCTCATTGTCAAAGTGACACTAGCGTAGATTGTTTCCAAAACATTTCATTTTTTTATGAGAGCGTGGCAGTATTTTGTGAGAGCGTGGCATTCCGGTCGAGCCGACCCATTCGCGCTACAATTAAACTACTAATATAGCTGCAGCATGGCTCTACATGTATAAAGTTATGTACGTTAGCTAGTGATGTACATTTTACTTACAAGGACTATCGAAAAATGATTGTTAAGGAAGCGGTAAAAAGATTTAAAAAGATAGTTCAGTGCACGAAATTGAATAAATTCAAAAATTAACTGATTTTTTGTCATGATAATAATTAAAAAATATTCATATAACATGTTCCCGGGAATAAGCTGAACTTACCTACCTTTTGTTGGATTTTAATTCAAATGTAAAAAATCCCAGGTTACTTTACCGATAAACTTAAAAAAAACTCCTCAAGAATTAGATCGGAAAGTTGTTTTTTGAGAAAAACATTTACTGACATGGACAGTTTCCACGGAATTTCTTTTGTAAACACATTTTTGATAAATAGGTAGATACTTAAGCATATACCTATTTATATTTTATATTTTATAAAATGTTTTAATGCGGAAATAAAAAACGGGGACATGGAGTACATAATGGCTGTTTTATTTTTCATATACTCGTAAGTATTATTACTTTTTTAATTACACACATTTCATAATTAATAACATTATAAAAGTTTATTAAAACATTCCATTTAAATATGAATATTAACTTAATAATTTAAGTAAGGAAAGTTGTAGGGGAATCAGTTAAATAAGATTGCTCTGTTTAGTAGTTAATATGTTTGTGAGGATTCGTCATGCCTTAAGTGTATATTCTTTCATCTGTCCCTGAAAAATATAAAGTAATAATAAGCTTATTATAATTTTAGCTGCATGAATTTTAAAAAACATAATGATCTTAACAGAGTAAACTTCACCAAATGTCTGGGGATGCAGATGCACTCTCTATTCTCTTAATCTCGGTATCTTAAGAACATGATTACTCATTCATGGACTGACCGCAGCAAATGCAACTTATCTCGCAGATCTATTACTTAATCGTATTTATTATAGCTGCTACTTAATCATGATTTCCTCTACTCTACGACTAACGCTGTAGGCAAACACGCCATTTAAGCCCTCGGCACAATGTCGTCGGCCATCAAGCATGAATCGGGCATCGAGCGTTGTGAGTATCAAATACTATGGGTTATATATACTATCTTGGCACATTAAACTGCGCGTCTCATGCGTGGGCTTCTAGTGGCGCTTCAACTTAATATATTACATCTAGCTATGCTAAAAGTTTATTTATCTTTTTATCAAAAAGGTTATTTATCAATGTGACTAGGGAATATAATCCGAAGCTCCACGCAACCCCTTGGGGGAAATAGCGTGATGCTATGAATATTGCATTTGCACTAGTGTGACCGTGAGGTGTGGGTGGTGAAGTAAGGTTATACATTTTATTGCTTGATAAATAGATACTTAGTTGGGTTCATAATGGTTTAAATATGGTAATGTCAAGTTCTTTTATCTTTAATGTACTACAGTTTTATAATGTATAAAAATCTGTCTCTATTTTTATCTGAAGTTCGAAAGTTACATTTTTGAAGTCTTATTATAACAATATTACACTTACTGGTACAAATAATGTAGAAATGGCTCCTTTAAATAAAATTGTTTTTATTTTACTTTTTATTTTTCTTCTCAAGTATATGTTTGCTGCTGTTTTTCTTTGGATTCCAACCAATCCGTTATTAACATTAACGTTATTACAATTAACCTTAATCATTTTTTCTAAATATTCAAGATAAATATCGACATTAATTTTTATATAGTTTAGTCAATCCCTAGCGTACATGTAAAATATTTTGTATAACATAGATTAATCATAAGTCATCGCGCGCACAGACCGCGCGATGACTTATCATTAAGATATGTTGTATAAAAATGTATTTACCAAATTTAGGTAAATTATTAACAATGGACTTTTTTTCTTTGCAAAATATTGAAATTGACAAAATAATTGAAAACATTCTATATTTTAAACAGTATATAACATAAATTTTAACCAAAAATAAACGCATCATAACATTGACGACGTGTTGAGAATTTACCTGTGAAATGTGAAATTATCAGGATTATTTCTATTATTAATTAACACTACAGTCACTCACAGAACAACTAACCGTTTTGGAAAAAGCATACTTATTAAAAATTACCACTCTAAAAAATTACAAATATCTAGTGGCGTATCCACACATGCTGCCGGCTTATGCGGCCGGGTTTGCCGCTGGCTTTCAGACCGCCTTGCCGCTGAATTTACCGCCGGCTTTACCGGCGGCCTGCAGATGCGGTTGCAATTTTCGCAGTAGTGTTGTGACTTTCGTCGAAGTTAGTCGTGTACGTAGGATTGGAAGATGTTGGATTATAATATAGTTGCGTGTATCGCAAGTGTAGTGTTGTATGTTATTATTCATAAAAAGAACCGCAAAATCAAACGAAGATATTGGGTCAGACCAAGTCTACGAAATAGGCCTAATGTGTCCCTGATACTTGAAGATTTTAGAAAGGACGACATAAAGCGAAGAAATATTCGTTCGAAATTTAACACTTTTCTAAGGATCTCTAGTGAAGAATTTGAAATATTACTGAATTTAACTGGACCCATGATATCAAAAACTGACACCCGCTGGAGAAATGCTGTGTCAGCTTCCGATCGACTAGCAATTACTTTGAGATACCTGGCTACAGGAGACTCTTATTTTTCACTCGGTACACTGTTTAAAGAGTCTCCACAATTTATTTCTTTAATAATTCCAGAGATTTGTCAAGCTTTGATATCTACATTATCCAATTATTTAAGGGTAAGTACAAATATCCGTAACACATTAGGTAGTTAGAAACTGAACGCCTATATTAGAAAACAAAACAGATTATTATTTATTATATATTATTATTATTATTCACACAGTTATGACATGTACAAAACACAAACATTTTAACTAAAAGATTCTTGCCAGGAGAGTTCACAGGACAACGGTTTCCTAAGTGACGTATCTATTCCTAGTCGAATTATAATATCTATGATTTTATACTGTACCTGGAACTTCACACACATTTTACATACATATAACTAGAACTACACACACAAATATCACAAACAATTTTATTTTACAGATGCCGAATACACAGGGAGAATGGCTATCAGTGGCTCGGAGTTTCATGCAGAAATGGAATGTACCTAATTGCGTAGGTGCCCTCGATGGGAAACATATACGTATACAATGTCCAAATAATAGCGGTTCTGAGTTTTTTAATTATAAGTCATATTTCAGTATTGTTTTGTTAGTTTTAATCGATGCCAATTATAACTTTTTATACGTGGACATTGGATGTCAGGGCAGAATATCTGATGGTGGAGTTCTACGAAATTCAACTTTATTTGATATGATACGAGATGGAACTTTAAGTCTGCCACAAGCGATTCCATTACAAGGGAGAAATACACCTGTACATTTTTATTTCATCGGTGACGATGCTTTCCCAATCTCACAGAATATAATAAAACCATTTTCTGGATATCATGCAAAAGGATCACCTGAGAGGGTTTTTAATTATAGAATTAGTCGCAGGCGCATGGTTGTAGAAGACGCGTTTGGTATTTTATCTAATAAATTCAGAATTTTGCATTCACGCATTGGTTTACAAAATGAGAAAGCAAAAATTGTCGTGATGGCTTGTGTGCATCTGCATAATTTTATGAAGAGAAATGAAAGAACTACTGATGGAGTTTTGAACGAGGAGCAACAAAATATTCCACAGATCGCTCTAAACCAAGAACCAAGTGTAATTAGAAATGAGCTAAAATGTTATTTTCTATCGAAACAAGGTTAGATTCCATGGTAATATCAAATATAATATTTGAAAGAAATAAAATATGATTATTCAAATAATTGTTTTATTTAGGAATCTGAAACATTTATCAATAATTTTAAGCTTTTATTAAAATAAAATAATTTAACCGAAAATATAAACATTTATTTTAATCTATTACACTATTTTCGGTTAAATTATTTTCCAAGACTAGTAACAGACTGTCACTTGTGTTGACATCTGGGCTATTTTCCATTTCATATAATTATAATAATTCATATAATTATAATTATAGTCTGATTGAACAGAGTAAGAACGCGAAGTTGAGGGCGGCGGTGACATTGCTGACGTTGTAGGTTTGCCTGTGAAGTATCCTGGACGAACATTTTGATAACAACGAGGCTGAATAGTATTATTGGTCCTATCAAAATACATCGAACCCATTCTCATTTCTGCTTCATAGACAATATTCTGGATTTGATGTTATACTGTACACATAGTGTAATGATCCATCTTCCTCAACTTGCTACTTATATAGTCTGCAAATATAGCAGCATCATCGCGTTACCTTGCATCAGATGTAATCTCCCTCAGTAATTGCAAAGCTTCATCAACTTCAGGGTCTCTCTCTATATTTCGTTTTCGTGAAGTCCTTGTCGAAGGTAGCGTAGTCTGGGGAGTGATATTATCTTGAGAAGACTGAAAATAAAAAGCAAATCTGATAAATAATTGCAAACAAGCTTAACATCTACGGCGAATGCATGTCTTTTCGTAACTCGCGCCGCGCATTAATGTTTTTAGTTTTATCGATGTTAATAAACATTTATATTTCTTTATAAAAGTAGTGTTTAGTTGATAGGTTTACCTTAACCTGCCCTAACACACTACAGTAGGTAGTAGGTATCTAATATTAATACGCGAGGTAAAAACTTTGTTCCCCTATTTACGAAAATATTACTTATTGAAATAATGTATTTTAAATTAATTATGGTGGAATTTCGACCAATGGGCGACCAACTAGTCTACTTAATTATAAGAATTTGATGGGTACTTACACTAGGTGTGTGGCTGTTCAGAGTCGGGACCGGTGCATTCTTGTCATTAAGAAATGATAACGCCTTATAAGCAAACCATTTCGGCAATTGAACATCTTCCCGTCCAGATCCACTCCTTTTAGATTCTTCATATTTGCGTTTTTCTCGAAAATAATGGCTGGATAAATTCTTTAGTTTTCTCTCAATTTCTGATGATGATATGTTGAACACAGGAGCAATATCCCTAATAGCATCATTTCTTTTGTTGCGATTCTTGAAATCCATATGCCTTGGGTTCCACAATAGTTCATTTTCTTGATACTTTTCTATTAGTAAAAGTACTGCACTATCATTCCAGTTAAATTCTGTCATTTCGTTATTTAAGTATATGAAATTATGTTATTTACGAATACTACAACACTACCACTCCATATCGAAGCCGCAAGCAAACTGCCGCCGGCCGTGCCACCGGGCATGTGTGGATAGGCATAGGAGCTTGTTCATGTTGTGCCAACCTGTCATTCAAAATCGGTTACAGGTTCATGAGATTTCTATCTTGCAGTTTTGCCATAAGGAATTTTCTTCTCCCTTACACACTTTGTCGGTCTATACGCCGGTATATTCAAAGTCTATGCTTCACACCAACTTCTTATTAGTTTGTGCTCCACATATAGATATAGTAAAATAGTATTTATACTATATCTATGGCTCCAAATCAATATCACCATTATTATGTGTCCATAGACCTTCATAATTCATAAAATCAGTAGATGGAAAATTGAAAAACTTTAATATTAGTTATATCAGGCCTGTCTCACTTCACGCTTTAGGCATGAAAATGTAACTTCGCTGCGCGGCCGCCTATAAGATATTAATTCAGTGAGGATGACACTCGCGCGCTCGAGCTGATGCGCGCCTTACGTTAACAAAAAAGTATTTTTCTCTTATAAGTATTTTGGCACATTTGACATTTATATTTGAGTTTTTATTCAAGTATGGTCTCTCAAAAAGCTAAAGTTACTGTATAGCATACCGGTGCTTAAATAACAATAGGGATGTCGACTATTCATTTTATACTGTTCCAAATCATACCGAAAGGTAATATATTATTATTTATAGGCAGATCTAGGCAATTAGGTACCTAGTTACTGACGCCATAGTTACAGATTTATTATTTGATTAGTGACCACAGCTTCGCAGTTTTCGAGTTTTTCGCGTATAATGACAATGACCTTAAAATATTGTTTAGTATAAGTAGACCTCCCAGTACTAGTGACTGCCTTCTAATGCAAGATCAGCATATACTGGTGAATATTTAATACTTAGTCGATAAAAGAAAGATTGAAAGTAACAGCACTTCTCAATGCCACTCTTTCATTAAAAATGAAGTCGCGTGTCGCAGGTTTGTAAATACCAAAAAATGTGAAACAGAGAAGTGACGGCTACGTGGCGCAGTGGTTTAGTAATAAGTTAGTAATAAGTTACAGCGCTAAGGGCTGCGGGTTGGAATCCCAGACGGAACAAATATTTGTATGGCCTACAAATAATTGTCCTTTTGCAATTTATGTTTGTTAAGCGACAAAGCCGAAACGACAGACTCGGCTCCTCGCCGTATAGTAGCGGCGTAAAATCTACCACCCCCTTAGTTCGCACCATGAGCCTAGTAGAAAAAGAAATGGCCCCGAGTTCCCGGCGCCCCTTTAATGGGGCAGGGGTGCGAAGAATCTCCGGGAGAAAAACCGGCGACGAGGTTCGCCACCCGTCACGTCCTGTCTCCCGGAGGGGCGAAAAGTGGATTGCGGAGGCCCGTCTGGCTACGCTGAATGTATGTGGAGCAATGAATGATAAGATGGATGAAGTATGCGAAATGATGAATGATAGAGGAATAGATGTGTTATGTGTAAACGAGACGAAACGAAAGGGAAGAGATGTCACTGCACATGGCATGTATACCGCTTACTGGTCTGGAGTAGACGAGACCGAGCGGGCATGCCAGGGAGTCGGTGTCATCCTTTCAGAAAGAATGGGTCAATGTGTGAAAGAGTATGAATGTGTTAGCCCAAGGCTGCTGTGGATACGAATGAAAGTGGGCTTAAAGAAGTTGTTTGTGCTAGGGGTGTACGCCCCAGATATGTCTAAGCCCACTTATATCCGAGAGCAGTTTTGGGACATGGTAAGGCTGGTGTTGATGAAATGTAAGGAAAATGAAAATATTATTATGTTAGGAGATTTTAATGGAAGGGTGGGGGTGAAGAGGTCTGGTTATGAAAGGATATTAGGAACGTTTGGCGATGAAAGAATAAATGAGAATGGTGAAGACCTCCTCACCGTATGTGTGGAAAAGAATCTTTTTGTGGCGAACACTTTCTTTCGCCATAAGAGGATTCACATGTATACATGGGAAAGAGGGGATGATAGAAGCATGATAGATTTTATAATTGTGGATGAAAGAATGAGGAGCGCAGTGGTAGATACAAGGGTTTACCGGGGGTCCAACGTAGGGACGGATCATTACTTGGTCTTATGCCGAATTAATGGTCTATTCAGACGTTGGCGGCATCGGACATCGGTGTCTACCACTGCGTTACAGCGTATAAGAATAGAGAGGTTACAAGATGAAGGTGTGAAAGAGAAGTATAAATGCAGACTAAGGCAAAATATAAGTGGGTTGAATGAATTATGTATGAATGATTTAGAATTGAAGAATGTATGGAATAATATTAAGAAAGTTTTGGTGGATGCAGCCACCGAAGTATGCGGTGTAAGTAAGAGAACGAATGAAAGGAAAAGTAATACGTTGTGGTGGGATGATGAGGTACGGATGGAAGTTGAAGCAAAGAAGAGAGCATGGCTAGATTTACTAGCAACTAAAGCTGGTAATTCTGGCGGTATGAATGATGAGATTGAAAGAAAAAAGGCAAACTTTAGACGTATAAATAAGAGAGTAAAAGAAGTTGTTGAAAGGAAAAAGCAAGAAAGGATAGATAAGAATGATAGAAGGATATCTGATAACTTCCAGGAAAATATTAAAATGTTCTGGAAGCTCGTAAGAACTGCCAGGGGAAATTCAAAACAGCCTAGAATGAATGCTATACGAGACGAGAATGGCTGCATGCTGAATGATGAAGTTTCGAATTTGAAGAGATGGAAGGAATACTTTGAAAGCGTCTTTAAGAGTGAAGAGTCGTCTGAAATAAGTGAAATAGAAATTCCGGAAGAAGTGGAGAGAGGTAGGGAAATAAGTGTAGATGAAATAATGAAAGCAATGAAAAGCATGAAAGCAGGTAAGGCAGCCGGATATGATAGAGTATCACTCGAAATGCTAAGGGCTGGTGAGGGTGTGGTTGCAGGCCTGCTGCACACCTTGTTTAATTTATGTTGGGAACTGAAACAGGTACCGGAAGACTGGTGCAAAGCCGTTATAGTCCCAATATATAAGGGAAAGGGGTCGCAGCAGGACTGTAAAAACTACCGTGGTATCAGCTTGCTTAGCATTGTGGGTAAACTGTATGCTAAGGTGTTAATTGAAAGAGTTATGGAAGAAACTGATGGAAAAATTTGGGATGTGCAAGCTGGATTTAGAAAGGGGATGGGGTGTACGGATCAAGTCTTTTCCATGCGCATGATAGCGGAGAAGTTTTTGGCTAAAAACCAGAAAGTTTTCTGTGCGTTCTTGGACTTGGAAAGGGCTTATGACAGAGTGGACAGGAACGTGTTATGGCAAACACTGAACTCATTTGGGTTGAGCGCTGGCTTGATACAGGCATTAAGGTCTCTTTATAGGGACTCTAGTGCTTGTGTCAGGATCAACGGGATCTACTCGGACTGGTTTGGCATTCATAAAGGTGTCAGACAGGGATGTGTGGCTTCCCCGTGGCTGTTTAACCTATTTATGGACAGTTGTTTGCAAACTTTGAAAGTTGAAGAATGTGGGTTGAGAATGGGTGAGTCAACCGTCAAATGCCTTTTGTACGCCGATGATCAAGTCATATTTGCATCGTCGGCGGCCGAGTTGCAAATGATGGTTACTTTAATGAATTGGTCATTGAAAGAAAGGGGTATGAAAGTGAACGCAAGTAAGACGAAAGTGATGGTTTTTGAAAGAGAAGAAAGTAAAACTTTATGTGAAATAAGAATAGAAGGGGAGTTGATTGAGCAAGTGGATGAGTTTGTATATTTGGGATGTTTATTTAGCAGGGATGGTAGATATGATAAGGATATAGAACGACGAGTGAACGCAGGAAATAGAGTGAATGGGGCTCTACACGCTATTGTGAGGAGTCAGAATGTGTCAACTAAGGCACGTATGGCAATTCATAATGCTGTGTTAGTGCCCACTTTAATGTATGGTAGTGAAAGTTGGGTCTGGCAGAAGAAGCATGAGAGTAGAATAAATGCTGTAGAAATGCGTTCCTTAAGGAGTATGCTAGGGCTGAATCTGAATGACAGGGTGAGAAATAGTGTAATAAGACAAAAGTGTGGTTTGCAAGATGACGTTGTGACAAGGATTAAGAAAGGAATGCTTCGGTGGTTTGGTCACGTAGAAAGAATGAACGAGGAAAGAGTGACAAAGCAAATTTATGTTGCAGAAGTGAACGGCAGGGTCGGGAAGGGACGCCCTAGACGAAGGTTTATCGACCAAATCGGCGATACATTAAAAATGGGCCAGATTAGGAGTACCCTTAACCGACGAGCGTGTATGCGTAGATATATGGATGTAAAAGAGGCGAGAGAGGTGTGTCAGGATCGCGCCAAATGGAAGTCCGTAGTCTCTGCCTACCCCTCTGGGTGACAGGCGTGAGTGTATATGTATGTATGTATGTTTGTTAACTGCCACCACGATACAGGAGAAAATCCTAGTGTGGGGGTAACTTATTTTTAACAAAATAAAAAAAATACTAATACATTGCATATCACCTTTGTGTATTCTACTATATACCAACTAATATCAAAGGATTTAATTTGTTTTCTCACAACACCGAACCCTACAGTAGAAGCGGTCTTAATAAAGGCGCGTATCAGGCTAAATGATACAGACACATGCATGCGGACGTAAGGCGCATTTTGATTTAATAAGCGCGCCACATCATTCGTTTTTTCGACGAAATAAACGGTAGGCTGATTTCAGGAAGGTCACTTTCTAGGCGTGTTATGAACATTTATTTTAAACTCGCAAGTTTGTATCAGAGAGTGAGCCTTCTGTTCTTTTAACTATTATTTATTCTGTGGTTATATTATGTATTAGATTTTAATCCGCTATCATGTCTTAAGATACTAAAGTCATATACTTTCTATTTATCAAATATAGTTGAAATCTTCTAAACACTTCGAAATGTGATCCATTAGTCATTATACGCATTTATATTATTGTGAATAGTTTTGTGATAAAAATACACATCAAACAAGGCTTTATGGGCTCTGATCCCTTTGTGCCTCTAAAAAAACAACAAAATTTTCGGCTACTAAACAAAAGTCACAGTAAATTTTGAAAAATTTGCAAGAAATACCAAATAGTACAATAAGAAAAATGTGAAATTTTTTGTGAGAGTTATATTCTTTGTTCTTTCTCTGCGGTGCGGGTCATCGGCGGAGCAAACTTAGCACGTGTCGTAAGTAACTTAATAATAAAATATTTAGCAAATGACGAGAAAGCAATTTTATAAATTTCTATTAAACCGCATAAAGATATCGATTTGTGTATGTTCTGTCGTATGCGGTGTTGTGTTTATTGCTTATGGGATCGATGCTCAATGTTTCTAAGTAGATATTATTCAAATAAGAAAGCGAAACAAAACTATTTATTATTTATTAATAACCCTAGATTCATAAACACTACGATATGACACTATTATTATTCAATAACATTCGCTTCTCAGATGACAATATTAAATTGAAAATTTTAGATATTTCTATGGTTCATTATATCATACTTGTATTCTTACATATTATTATATTTTTCATTGATTACAGTCTCATCGTAGTAAACTGCTGAATATAGTACTCCTTCCCCCGTAGATTGCTATAGGGGGATATTTGTCATAGTTGTCACACTTGCCAAGTGCGTTGGCAACAGTAGTATTTTATTATTTTGAGTTATCAGGAAGATGCTGCGGTCCATTTTTAGTGTTATTTGTCTCTTGCGCCTCTCATGTTACCCACAGGATAATATGATGTAGTGGATCCTCTTACATGGCCTCTACATATTATTATTATAAAATAAAAAAGTCATTCAGAGCAATCAACTCATAATAAACCTCTGAGATTCATACACTAAAAATATATAATACACGGTTCTATTATATTATGTCATTAGATTTTTTTATAACACAGAAAACAAATTTTTTTTTCTAAGATCACTAAATTGTGCTTGAAGTGTTGGCAGATACTTCCACAATTTTCCTTTTAAGGCATCAAAGTTGGTATTTTATGGCTCTTGTGTAACCATGCTTCAGATAGTTTCTTTGATACTTCTTTTGTGGGTACTCCCAATTGAGATTGAGCCTATTTGTTGATCTGTCTTCACTATCTGAAGAAAGGTTATTTAATAATTTCGTTACTTGCTGGTTAATCAGTGAGGTCAGGCTCATTTTATGAAAATAATATATTTGCAAACTTATGTACAAAATAGTTACCTGCTATTCATGTAAAGAGTAAAAAATATTTATTATATAAAATTTAACACTCAGCTTCTAGAATAAATGATGATTTCAAATAGTTAAAGTACCCTTTCTTTATTTGAAACACAATTCATAAACTTTCATCTGTTGTCAACGTAATGACTCCACTTGTGCACCCTTTGAATGCAAGGCATTCAACCATTGTAATACATATCAATAATAGATCTAAAATTGTACTTAGAAGTGGAACTTTCAATTTTTTTCACACTAATTTTTATATGCATTGGGTCTTATTAAAGGTACATATTACGCTCAGTGAATAACATAGTCAAATAAAGGCCGATATCAACAAACCATTGCAGTTCGGAAATTGTGTCTTCAATATATTACTGATGGGAAAGTAAAAGCAAAGAGAGAAAGAATATTAATGCTTTATAGGTCTGTGAGACAAATGTTTATGAATCAAGGGTTAAAAGTATTTTACATAAATATATTTGTATGTTATGCATTTTGTTCTAATATAAATTTATCATATTTATATATAATATTTCATATATTGTAAATAATAAGTAACAACTACATTGAGTTATTATTTGTTTTGTAAGAGCCATGGAGCACAACGACTATAGTGAGCCTGAATCTAAGGTAGCTCTCAAAGATATTCCAAAAGTACACACAAAATGCAACCACATCCGTCCACACACAAGGTTAATTATTTTATAGTGTATTTATTTTTATATAATCTCAGTTTCAAAATCCGAAGTAAAATAGTATAATAGTTAACATAAAATTGAATATAATACTTTTATTTTGGATTAATAATTTTGAGTGGATTCTGAAATTGACTATAGTTTCAATTTCTATTCACATTAGATTTCTGTACATTTATCACATCATTTCACATATATAGTTCTGTGCTTAGCTTATTAACTGGCCAATATTTTTATAATATATGTAATTTATTATATATACAAGTATTGCAACTTACAAAAAAAATTGCAAAAAAAATATCACTATTGGTAAATTATAAAATTCATTATAATCTTTTTGGATTTATGATTTATTGTTTATTATAAGTACCAGGCACTGGCTTTTGCTTGTTTATTTTACCATTGGTTCAGAGAAAAGTTAGTAGTTATGAATATGATAATGCCAGAATGCTCCAACATATATAGGCTAATTTACAATACTTTTTACATTTTGCACTATCAGTTGGTTTTCCTTTATCACACGGTTCAATTTTACTGCCTCGTTGATCTAGTGATTGTAAGCGCAACTGCTGATCATGAAGTGCCAGGTTTGAATCTTTGCTTGTGCACACACTCATTCACTTTTATCTTGTCCTGTACATGGCTAGTTTCTGGTGAGACTCATCACTGTTATTGGAATTTGATCTGGAAGACATAAACAAACTCCTATACCTTAGAATGTTAAATTTATTTCACATTTTAGCTACTAATCTTGATGTAATATCTTTCAAAGATATCAAGCATTGGAGGTTATCTTCATAATATACACATGTTTGTCCTTCTCGGAGATTTTTGAGATGAGGTATTAAAGAGCATAGGAGGTTAAAATATTAGCAAAATAGCATTTACATCACAGCATAGATTACCCCCTAAGGGGTAATTAAGGGGTAATTAGGGGGTAATCTTTGCACCACAGGCACAGCCCATTTTGTGCTTTTGCCTGAGATTTATTTTACTTATTCTACTTTAGTTTATGATTTATTCCGATGTAAACGACAGCTCCGTGGCGCAGTGGCTTAACTTGAGTTGCGGCGCTTGGGGCCGCGAGTTCGACTCCCGCGCGGAATAAGTATTTGTATGACCTAAAAGTAGTTGTTCCTGGTGTGGATGTTTATCCTTTTGTGATTTATGTTTGTAAACTGCCTCCACGATACAGGAGAAAATCCTAGTGTGGAGAAAGAGGATTCTAACTGAAGAATAATTGAACTTTTGATTCTGTTTCTTTAAAAAAAAATTACAAATAAATTAGGGTTAGTTTACACCGAGATGTGCGGCGACGCAACGCGACGCGGCGACACTTTTTAAGATAGTGATACAAAATATAACTTTATTTACTACACAAAAAGATTCACATTTCATTGAGATAATTCGAAAATGTCCCGCGGCGTCGCGGTACGCCGCGCTGTGCCTCGTCGGTAGGCGTAGCGTGCAAGAGCCACGAATCTTCATACATCGACATTTATCCTCGATTAAGAATGAAAATGTAGATGCCTGTTCACCCTCTGAGGACTTAAGACGCCTTGTTTCCAGTGGGTCTTTTCTAGAATTAGGGTGGCAAACAAGTGCACAGTTCACCTGATAGTAAGTGGATAGTGTAGCTCATAGACACATACATCTATCCTCGATTAACACGCAATGCAGATACGTTAGTCTCCCCTGAGGACTAAGATTAAATGCCGCGTTTCTAGTAAAAAGGGTCTCCGGTTCTCTACACTCACCATAGAAACACAGCAGCATTAAGCTGCTATTTTGCGCTGGTATTCTGTGATAGCGTGGTCCTTCTCCGGTCGAGCCGACCCAATCGTGCTACAACTAATATAGCTGCACCGTGGCTCTACCACGTAAAAACGAGAAAAATACATCATCAATTATTTTAGGTCGCCGAAGTATATTAATATAGTAATTAGGTATTGTAAATAATTAAATTTGCGTAAGTGATTTCGAAATGTCACTGGAAAGTTTGACTTCTTAAACACAAAATTGCGAATTAAAAGGTAAAACGCGCTCCAGTTTTCAATAACAACTTACTTAATAAATCGACATAACAAAAGTCTCGCGGAGCTTGTGCCGGTTCGCACGCGATCTTGACATGATAGTGCCGTATGGTGAGGTCGGTGGTAGGCGAGGTCACAGACACGCTCTATAGGTCGTCTAGTGATACAGTGCCTGCTTATTTTAGGATCTGTTGTTTTTCTTTTTATATGTAATCAAGCTGGGTAATGAGATGTCACCTTGTAGCCGTTAATACTTTTTTTAAATATAGAATATGGGTGACAAACGAGCACAGTCCACCTGATGGTAAGTGGATGCTGTGGCCCATAGACATCTACGTCTATCCTCGTTTGCGAATCAAAATGCAGATGTCACCCGTGAGGACTAAGAGGGAATGCCTCTTTTCCAGTAAAGAGGATCTCCGGTTCTCTACACTCACCATACGAAACACAGCCGCATTATGCAGCTTTTACGCTGGTATTCAGTGAAATCGTGGAGAGCGTGGTCCTTCCCCGGTCGAGCCGACTCATTCATGCTACAACCATAATATAGCTGCAGCATGGCTCTACCAAGTAGAAAAACACACTTAGAAAATCGTAACCTAAAATAAAAACCTTATGTATCACGTTATAAGCTTTTATGGTCGTTTTATTCATACACTCGATTTGGATCAGTAGCCTTTTTAAAGTTTCTCTATGTCCAAGTAATCGATGAATAAAATATTCAAGCAAAAACCAGCTGCTGGGTATTGATTGCCCTTAGCAAAAAATTGACTTGGCAGGCTTATTCGCGATCAAATTACCAGATCTATCGCATCTTAGACGCCCCTCGTTATCATGAACTTTGACATGATTTTTTTCTGACATTCAGCTTAGTTGATTCTTTCGACTTCCAATTAATAATGAAAATACTTGCTTATTAAAGTTTAAATGCAATTTAAATTCTATATTATGTGTGCATTTGACGTCATAGTAGCGTGGTGTTTGGTTGTTGGGCGCAAGTTCAAACCCCTGCGTATGGGTGCTCACAAGTTTTTGTATGGCCTACAAATAATTCTATTTTGCATGGAAGTTAAGAATAAGAACTAATGGTATCCATTAGAAGTAGTATTTTACAGTGTTAAATATTAAAGTTTAAGTTTTTATCGAAGACTTTTATTTTGTTTTTATCCTATGATAAAAGTTGCATGTTTTTATGCATAATTATTGAAATTATTTTGTCCCTTCATCTTTTACCAAAAATAGATCTCATAACATGGAGGTACAAATACTTTTTGAGATACCCCTCAGCCAATGTGAAGATTTAAAGATATGGAGTAGTTAAAAGATTGCAGTACAGTTTATTTTACCGAACGCTTTACCAATATTCCAAGGATTCGATAGAGCGCCATCGATACGTGTCGAATTTAGCCCTATTAACTAGTGATAGAGCGGTGAGTCGCGTCAGTCCATAGCAACCCCCTTCGTTGTAAACACTCTTTAGCGTTCAGTCGCCGCCGGTCTTTCAACTGCGCTCGACCGCGTACAGTCACCAGTCATTGTGACAGTAAAAAGTGTGCGAATCCACGTGACGCCGCTATTTGTCGGTCCGGTTACGAGGCGTTTCCGTTCAGTGACTCAGGGTTTGACGCGTTCAGTCTTAATGGGCAAATTTTTCGTGTGAGTACTCACCGATTACCAGAAATGAGTTTCAAATATTTACATAAATTATTAAGTAATTAATTGAGTATTTAATGATTTCTTATATTTACACGAATACACTACTTTGAATAAAACTAATTTTATGGATTTTATCGTGTCCCGATGTCATAAGTTAGCCCGGCTAACTTCGGTTTTTGAATATTAATTTTTGGTCCGATTTACGCAGAATGAGCTTACAGTATCTTGGAAGTCTTTAGTCTGGAGATTAAGATTTATTTATTAATACAGCAGCAGCACCAGCGTCTTCCTAATAACGGCTAAAAATAAAAAAAAACTGCGGTTGCCAACCCACTTACCAAGCGTAGCAACTATGGCAAATATCCCCTCTATGAGGCAATCTATGGGGGAGGCCTATGTTCAGCAGTGGGCTCTAATATGCTGTAATAGTAACGGTGAATCTAGTAAAGTATCCGAAATTATTGATGATTATATTTGAGCAAAAGTCCGACTAGATAAGTCCAACTTTGATAAGAGGTTAATCGACGAATCTAACTCGGCTGGGTCATATTGATGGGAATGCGTTTTGCGATACGTCTTGGTGACCGGTCTACCTCAGAATTTTAAAACATAAGTGAGCAACCAGCGCATGTTGCCAGTGATTATGACTTTTGAAATCGAGACATAATACAACTGGCCGTATGAGGAAGCTCAGTTGTCTATGCTATGCGATTATCTGTGGCTGCTGGTAGACCCGTAATATAAATGATATATTTTAAGAACTAATTGCTGATGGAGTGGAAAGGTTCATTAGCAGTCTCGAACCGGCGACCGCAATGTAGGGCGAACCCCCACTAGCGGAACAATTCGAACAGCAACGGATAAAGGTAGGGCCATGCTGTAGCTATATTTTTGTTGTAATAGGAATGGGTCGGCTTGACCAGGATAGTAGTACCAGCGTAAAATAGCAGCTTAATACTGCTGTGTTACATATGGTGAATGTAAAGAACCGGATACCCTTTTTACTGGAAACGAGGCATTCCATCTTAGTCCCTAGGGGTAACAAAACATCTGCATTTTGAAGTTTTATCGAGGATAAATGTCTATGGACCACAGCGTCCACTACCATCAGGTGGACTGTTAGCTCGTTGAGAATTTATTGACAGAAAAATTCAATAACCGATTTTTGGCCGATCAGAGATTCGAAGCCATTTAGGAGTCGCGTTTATGACCACTAGAACAACGAGACAGTCACGTAGTAATAAAGGAGTGTAGCAATTGCATGCGCTGCGATTACGTGACGTGCCGTCAGAAGTGTAATTACGGTAA